CGCCCCCCTTAAAAATTAATTGCCTGTTAACCAAGAAACAAAAATATCACCTGATCATAGAGAAAAATTTAAGAACGATATTTAAATATGTTAAGGCTCTTGTTATGCTGCTTGCAGTGGCTTGCATCAGTTCCTGGCTGAATTACAACTTATTTTTCAATCTGGAATCTTGGTATGAAGTGGTCTGCAAAAAACGCTTGCTCTTATCTCAGACTGACAGTCTATAATGTTCTTTTCAGGAGCGTTTCTTTAGCTAATGAATGAATGCTCAACATCTTGTTGAAAAGTTGGTATCTGGGAAGTTTTGGCTGAGAGAGTGCATTGAATCATCTTTTGAAATGGCTTTAATGGGTTGTCTCATTCATGTTTTGCCAGATTAAGATTTCTCCCTGACTTCAGGGACTGTTGATTCCTGTAACTTTACATCTGAAATAGCCAAAAGTATGTTTGAAGTAGTCAGAATTTGATATTTTGCTGTTCCATTGGGGCTGCAAGTCTCTAGGATAGCTTGAGTAAAGTTAAATGATGATCCTAAATGAAGGATACACATCTGCCTCTTCAGTCTCCATGGAGGGATCCTGGAAAGATTTCATTTTGCTCCTTTATGTAATAATTCAGATGTCACGAGCCTAGAAAGGAGGAATGTGAAGGGCAAAGTTACACAGTACAGCAGAGCACGTCAAATAGCTCATCACCACTGAAAGGGACAATTCTGGCCCTGCAGCGCTCTTTCTTCTCCCTTCTCCACCTTTCTGCCACTGCACTGATGCTGTCTCTGCTTCTCTGATGGCAGATGTCGGGCTGCTATTTCGGGAAGATGATTTTCTGGTTTTGGGAGAGAGGGATGAGCTCCTTTTCTGAGGTTTAGCCGGTTGAACTGGATCTGTGTAGGATCAAGTGTTTCCAAATCCAGTGCAGGGGCAAGGAAGCAGCTGCTGTTTAAAAATTAGTGTGTGGTTAAAGCAAAAAGCCATCTATTTTCTGAATGTTGTTTTCTCAGTTCCAGCTGTATGGGGGATGAATTAATAGCAAGCTGTACTTGGAGAAAGTTAATAAAATCTCAAGAATGCTGCCCTGAGGACTTTATGGCATGGGAGCATAAAACTGTTCTCAGGGAAGCATGTCAGCATTTCTGACGTGTTAACAATGTAGTATTAAAGAGTTGGTTATGTTTAAATATCAAGTGAAATCCGTATTCATTACTTAAGGCTTTGTTTTCTTAGCTCGTAGCATGCAAAATCTGTTATCCTAAATGTTTTTTCTTTCCTTTTCTTTTTCTTTTTATTTATTTTCTTCAACAGCTTTGTTGTAGAACAAGAGCAAGCCATGGTGTGCATTCCTTGTATTGTCATTCCGGTTCTCCTCTGGGTCTATAAGAAATTCCTTGAACCGTATATCTATCCTGTTATTGCACCTTTCATTAAACGTGTGTGGCCCAAGAAAGCTGTGCAAGAAACAACAGCCACAAAGCAAGGTCAAGGAGTTGGCGCTGGAAATCCACAGGCACCTTCAGCCACAAAAAGAGATCAGGAGGATGAGTCTGGAATTTATAAAGTAAGATTAATGCATTTAGCTAACCTAGCAAACCCCAGATAACGGACCCAACAATAGTTCAGGCTGTGCGCTGCGAAGGTGTAGATAGTTGGGTGTTTTTTAATGGAAATTTTTGTGGCTCTTTTCTCATGAAAGAGAGGGTTACCAGTAGTGATATGACTGGGAAGAGCAGTTCCTCCAGGACAGCTCCTGGGAGGTCTTGGAGAGAGAAGCTAAGCTGCTTCAGAAAACAGATGCAGTGCTAAGACATATATGTGTAAAATTAGCTGATGACTGCTCTTTCAGAGGAGTGAGAAGTTGGGTAACCAATAAATCATAGCAGTTGCCTGAAGCAGAATTCAAAAAAACAAAACAAAACAACCCCCCCATGCTAGCCCTGCTGCTACTAATGGGGGAAAATGTGTAAAGCATTTAAATTGTGCTGTTACTATGTACCTCTTGTAACAAAATGCATTTTGTTTTCGGAGATTTGCATGTATTGTCTCTGTCTTCGTTTCCCCCCTTCTCCTGAAGTAAGAATTATGTGTAAATCCAAAAAAAAAAAACCCACCGCCACTTTGATCCTTGCTGCAAATTTCTTTTAGAATCAAGGCCAGTGATCTATAAAAGGCATTTTCCTCACCAACTGAATGTTATCTTTCTGGATGTGAAGTCCTTTCTTTGACATCCCATTAATGATGCTGTCTTGTATTTGCAGTTTGAAAGCAATGGGTTTGCAAATGGAATTGCTGCAAAGAGAGACACAGAAGTTTCTGACAAGAAAACAGATTAAAGGAATTTATTCATAAGGATTTTATCCCCATGTGTCCAATATGAACTTGTGATATTTCTCTCACTTTGAGACTTTCTTTGCACATTTCAGCTGAATGGAAACCCTTATCGCTTACAGGAGAGGGTCTCTTCTGCCACTAAAATGGTAGCTAGTAGTTTTCTTATTTAAACTGTTTGAAAACTATCTGAAATTGTTCTTTGTTTTCCTCACTGGAACTACTTTTCTTCTGTAACCTGATTGGCATGATTAGAGTTTAGGTTAAATAATTTATTAATAAATTTAGCTTGAGAAGGTAGATGTGTTGCTTCTTAGTTTCACTGACTGCTAGTGCAGTACTTCAGGCTTTCATCTTAAGAACTGTAGCTGTTCCTGCCCTTGCTAAAGAACTATAAATTGTATTATGTCAACATAAGTATTATGGTCAAATTGTGAAGAATATAGATGATCCACGTGAAATCTGTGGGGTTAGGCTATATGCAGAATTCACTTAGCTTGCTACGAGCAGAAAGTCTTGATCTAAAACTTCCATTCATCGTTTTGTCCTTGAAACATTGTGCCTTTCTTCTCTGAAGAGGAGGCGCAAGGGCATGATACAGGAAAATGGTTGCTTTGTATTCTGTTGCAGTGGTTTAAAATGGTGCAGTTCTGTGTCATAAAAAATAGCTGAAATCTTGTTAACATGCTTGTATAACTTGAATTATAATAAACCGGGATTTTATTTAAAAGTAAGTTGCTTCATATAGTTGTTTTTAGGCTTCTGAATAATAAAAATCTAGAGTAGTAAATGGACAGCTTTGAAAACCTGTAGATGGGCCCAAGGCACAAGGAGGGAGGTCATAAAGTTATTTGTTTTTGTGATACTTGGTGATAAAGAAAGGGAACTTGGCAAATCCAGCTTTGCCTCATCTTGGGAAGAAATAGTCTGGCGCTAACTTGCATCTCAGTTTGATAGTGTAATCTTGAAGCGTTTTTAGATGCCTTTCTGCATACTAGGAAATAGAAGTGATAATCCCTGTTTTTTCCCCTCCACCAAACTGGAGAGTTCTTTAAAATATTAAAAAAAAAAAAACATTCCAACAATTTTAAAAACATCTCTCTCTCTCTCTGTATACTTTAAGGATTTATCGCTTTCTCAGAAGTCCTATGGGTATACTCCTCTCTCTCTCTCTCTCTCTCTCTCTCTCTCTCTCTGTATATAGGCGTTTCATGGATAGCATCTAGAGGGTAATTATGATGAAACTCATAACAAGATAGGTTGATAAATGTTTCAGTTCATTCACAGTCCCTTTACATGCTAAAATGTTGCCCACTAGAGTGACAAGAGACACCTTGCAGTCCTTGAACTGTCGCTGAGGTCCAGCCCCATTCTTGCAAGCATGTTTTCTCCTTCTGGAGAAATATTCTTAATGTTTGGCTTGATGCCTGTCTAGTGCCTCTGGCGAGGTGTTTTATTGTTTCCTGCCCATAGCCATTAGCGGGTTGTTTTTTTTTTCCAGGTCTTATGTGAATTGGTCGGCAATGTTTACAGTTGGATATTGGACCATTGTTTCTCTGTTACTCTTGTAATGAGTTGAATTACAGACAACTTCTTGTAAGATATTGCCTAACACTCCTTTCTCTCCCTTCATGGCTCAGTCTATTAGGAACTGAATCTTGCACTACTGTTTGCAGTACCATCTTTTGCATCATCATCAGCCCCCATCTGATCAGTATATCACAGATACTTCACCAGTCTAGAAGAAAGCTGTACTGTTTGTGATAATAAAACCTGTTTTTGTTATTCTGAGCATGCCCACATGCTATAATTCATGCAATAAAAGATCAACAAACTAACTGTGTGTTCTTGTAGCTTCTCACCGGTGTTGTATAGTAGAGAAGAGTGGGTTGGAAAGGGGAGGGAGGGAAAGAAGTTGCACTGTTTTCCTGTTGTTTGTATCCTCCTATTTTTGGATGTTTCACCCAAGATTGTTGCAATGGATCACACTGTTCACCAGAAAACTTCAACCGGTAGAAGGTGGATGCAATCTTCCCTGGGACAGATGGGGTTTTCTTAAACCAGTCAACTCCCTGCCCCTTCCCAAACAATAAATTCCTTTCCTAACACTAGTTTCAAAGTTCATGCTCTCAGTCTGAAAGCCAAGAACGTTTAAGGGTCTGAAATCTTTATTCTTTGTAATGAACGAGGAGTAAAAAGGCTGAGAAAGTCCCCCTGCAGAGTTGGGGTCGCAGGCTGAGAAGGGAGGGCTAGGCCAGACCGTCTTTTGAACGGGAACAGAAATGAAGTTTGATCGCAGTCGTACAGCTGAGCATAAACGTGTTTTCTTATGCTTTAAGCACTACTGAAAAAATTGTCCCTTCAGCTGTGCTTCCTGTCCTGGATCAGGTAACCTTAACCGTTGTTTTGAAGTGTCTGGGCATTTCATAAACAGGCCAAATCTTTGAAATAAGATACTCACCTCTAACAGACATGGACATGACATAAAGGGTAGAGCAAGAGCTGTGCTTGGGCTTTAATGTTTTGCAGTAAGGGGCTCTATCCTGAGATGTCTTGTTCCCTAATTTGGGAATGCTTTTTTTCCCCTCCCTGCTGAAATGACATTCTGAGGCGAAACACCTGGCTGAAAATGCTGGTTGCTTGCTGTTGCTTGCTCCACACACGTGGCAAGAAGAGTCTTAGTACTTGGGTTCTTTGGATGGTGTAACAACATTAGTGGATGGTGATGGCTAGCTGGGAATGGGTGACAGGCGGACAGCCTGCCAGCTGCGGTGGGCTCACTTCTCCAGTAAGCTTCCAGAAGGAACATGAGCAAATTGTTGCTATCTCTGCGCTCCAAAATGGCCTTTGTTGGCTTCATATAACCTATTTTCAGTCCTTCAGAAATGAAGCAAATGTATGCGGTCGATTTATAAACTGTATATAATTAGAGTCATTTAGAATATTATTATTCAAGCAAACGCATCAGTAACATGGGAAAGAAATTGTACAGTAGATCGCATTGCAGTCTGAACTAGACTTTTCTGGCTGCGTACCAGTACCATGTTTAAACACCAGACCTACTGAAATGACTGCAAAAAGCAAAACAGCCATATCATGCAAATATGTCGTTTTGGTTGTAAAATTACACTGTCTGTGCTTTCCGGAGTGGTGTTTCATTACTTTCACTAGCTGCAGTTAAACATTAACGTGAGTTATCTACATCATAAAACTTTCCTGAATAAGGCACTTCCCTTGAACTCCTGGCAGGAGATTTGTGTTGCTTCTATTCTGTTCCAGTACCTCTGCTGTGAACAGATAGGCAAAAAATAATTTAAAAAAGAGATGAAAGAAGCAAGTGCCTGCTTCTGCTGCCTGAGCCTGTGCAGGGGTGCAGGAGATCTTCTGCTGGGATGCACAGAACCGAACAGATTCATGCTTAAGAAAATGAGCAGAAGAAAACCAAAGGAAATTCCCACACGAGAGAACAAAATATCTAAAGACAATAGAAATATGGATTTCTTTAAGTGAGAGAACTACTTTATGTTTTTTATTCACCAGAAGCTAGATTTATGAAAGGATTTAGACACCTAAAGGTTTAAATGAACATCTACCAAAATTAAGTAGAGCAAGGTAGTAGCTTCATTTGTACTGAAGACCTTTAGAAAATTACAGAGTAGGCATCTTTAGGCACCAAAGTACTTTTGCAAACCTAGTCCTAAGATTTCCAATGCTAAAGCTACTTTGGCTAATTTAAATACTATAGAGGAAGAATCAGAAAACCAATATGCAAGTCAAACATTTTTCATTTATGGGAAGCTCTAAATGCAACATGGTACTGACCTTGTATTGGTTTGCACAGGTAGTTGGATGCCAAGGGCTTATTATAAACTTAATAGAAATACACCTTTTAAAATACTTCAAATATGTGCAAACTTTTTCGTAAAAAGTTCATAAGACTTTATGTTGCTAGTTAAATATTTTCTATGGGCTTGATTCTACAACCAAAGGAAATTTTGGCACTTTAAATGGAACATGATCAGCCTCTGAGGATGTCTAAACAAACAATGAAGTCACTGCAAAATGATCTTTGTTCAGGTATGTTTTATAGGGCACATAATTACATTCTCGCCACAAAGTCAATCTAATGACAATAGTACAATATGGTATTATTATCCAAATGTAGCAATCATGCTTCAGCCTTCTGGGAGTCCTTGGGTACTGTGATTCAACTCTTGAAGTCCTTCTCTCCTGATTTCTGTACCATTCAGGAGGTTACTGCCAAAAGAATCTTTTCAGATGCTGCAGGTAAAGGAAATGAAGAGAAATTTAATTTACACTTAGATTAACTAAATCTGCCTTTAAGACAAACTAATTCTGTTTCATTAAACTGCCTAATACATGAATAAAGAGATAACCTTCTTCTTGGAGTTTTCTGATTATTAGAACGTGCTGGACTAACTAACTAAATCATATTTTGATTTTTGCAGACTGTCATTACTTTTGCTTCTCCGTGAATCCGACTGCAAAAGTTTAATTGAAATGCTCTAGAAGACCACGTTTGCTGCAGTGATTCTCTTATTTTTAGAAAAGTTTTTTAGCTCATATCCCCTTATCTCCCTTTTCCTTCACGGTCTTACCTGAAGCATAAATTACCTGAAATGTTGTGAAGAGGTATATTTTGCGTGTCGATGTAGCAATACACGTACTTTGAGTCACTATGAGGACTGGGTTTTAATTCCCTTGTACTTTTCTGTGCTTGCAGTCCTACGTCTTTCATGGACACGCCTCACTGATTTGCCACGCGCCGCTTCAGTCACGGTGGCGGTCAGAGCAATCGGGCACTGCACGAACACAAAAAGCACAAACCCTACGGCCAACCTTCTTGCTTGTGAGGAGCCGGCGAGGTATACGAGGCGCTTACACCCAGCCCTGGCACAGCTGCTGTTTGCATAGGCCATATTTGCTCGCCTCCTCTGCTTACAGGTGCGTGCGTGGCTCATAGATGCCACGCCGGGTGCTGTGACAGCGGGACTATGCCCAGGATTAGTTACACCGCGGAGGCGTCAGCCCCCTCATCGACTGACAGATGTTGCTGGCGCGATAAAATACTCCCGAAATGGAAACCGGGCGTTAGCAGGAGCGGAGGAAATCATTGAAAGCGGTGCACGATCGTCGCTGATACATCCCGTTTCCCTTGTACCACCTGCTTTTCCTCTGGCCTGTTCTAACCCCTCCCGCTACGGAAAACGAAACCGGGCCCCGACCGTCCGGCTCGGGCCCGACTGCGCCACCAGCGC